GTATAATAACATTTCAAACTCAACAGGCTCAAAACTGAACTCCTAATGTGCTTTATCCACTTTGTCCATGCCAACACCATCTCTCTAGTTAGGCCAAATCTTGTAATCATTCTTGTCTCCTCTCTTTCTCTCATGCCTTGTATTTCACAGAGGAAACCCTTTGTCTCTCCCTTCAAAATATATCAAGAATCGAACCAGTTCTCACTGCTCGCCTGCTTCTTTCCTAGTCCATTCATGACACTCTCAGGCAGTAGTCTCTTAAATGGACTCCTTGTTTCCAACTCTACCCCCTATAGTTAATTGCCAAGGTGACGGCAAAAATCTTAACTTAAAACACATAACACAAAACAACCCTAGAGATTTTTCGATGTACAAACAAATTCAAAGACATTCACCAAAAAAAAAGAGATGGTTTTGATAGTATTGAATTAAACAAATTTGTGATTAATTCAATTTCAAGAGCATAGGTTTCAAAAAATTTAAAGAGCAAAATGAATATAGCTGATTTTTAAAAACCATCCAATCTGATAATATCTATATTTCACTAAGTAAGTTTATATTTTTTATATTCATTTCAATTTCTGAGTTATTTGGGCTTATTTCTATCATCTTATTCCATGTATTATGTGCAATTTTCCTGCTTCTTTTTTAAAAGTTATTTTTGTCTCCATTTTGATTCATAAAATTTTCTTGATGCTTCCTCATTTTTTTTTCTTCTCTCAGCTTGGAAGTTATCAGTTTTATTTCTATTCTTTTAGAGACTTAGCTTACCAATTAGGCATGTATAGTTAATAGAGTCAGAAGTTATTTTCTATAATCATATATCTTAACAATATGTGGTCTAAGTCTTATATATAGAATTTCAATGCTTACCATTAGCCATTTAATCATAACATCACCATATCATGGGTGGTTAGATTTGTCATAGTGCTATGTTTTCAAGAAGGGCTCATTGGTCCATGTTTCCTTAATTCAGGCATATCTGAAAATTCCTGTTGTTTTTATACTTAACTTGACAGATTGGCTGAGTATAACATTCCTAGTTTACACTTCATTTCTTTTTAGATCATTGTACACTCTGCTCCTATTGCCTTTGAATATTTATGTGGACGTCTGAAGACAATAGACATTCTTCACCTCAGAAATGTCTTGTTTTTCTTGCCTAGATAACTGAAGTTTTTCTTTATTCTTGACTCTTAAGACATTCACTACTACATGTGAGACAGTTGTTTTACAGCACTTCTTTTTAAAGCATATAACCTTTTGATCCATGCATCCATTTATTCTTTTATATAAAATATTTTTCTTAAAATTTTTCTATTCCATTAATTGTGTTCTTTACATCAGATACAAGAGTTATCCTAGGTTTTACTTTTCTTACTTGTTCTCTATGGTTTTTTTTGTTGCTTTAATAACTTTGTCTTATTTTTCTGCATTCACATTTTTATCTCAAGGGTCTCTATATTATCTAGCTTGTTTCTACTTATGTTATTTAATATAACCTTGATTACTTACTTTGCTTGTTATTTTCAAATTATTTCTTAGTTCTTTAATACTCTTTTTGCCCCTTCAGTTGTGTTCTTAGCCCTGTATTTGAATTTTATTCTGTTATATTATTATTGTAAACTTAGTATATTGGCACCTTGGATTTGTGTTTTCTTTAATTTTTCTTTGGCAAGAAACAGTAAATTTTTTTCTTTATTTTCTTAGGCAATTTTTTTCTTTCAGAGCTGATTTTTTATATCACTTTCATATGCTAGCATTCCTTCTTATCTTCCTCTCAGCTATCTTCTTTCTTTATACTCTTCCTTTTATCTTTTTCATTCAATCCTTCTTCTTTCAATAGTATTTTTTGTAGTGTTAACATGCTGCTTTCTTTTTAATTTTTTTTAATTCAAAATATTAAGGGGGTACAAATGTTTTTGGTTACATGGATTGCTTTTGCAGTGCTTTGAGTCACAGCTGTAAGTGTGCCAATCACCTGAATAGTGTTCATTGTACCCAATTGGTAGGTTTGCCCATCCCCTCCTCCTTTCTTTAATCCATCTCTATCGAGATTAATCCATCTCTATTTTAATTCTTCTGATGCGGTATGGGTACATTGTCCAACTTAACTTAAAATTCAAAGAGCTTCAGTTTAAGATTTTAGTATTTCACAATCTACTACTTTTATGTAGCCTGAGACCATGAAGGTCAAGAGAATAATTCAATCCAGGCTCTGTGATATCTTATTTAGTGAATTTGGTCTCTGTGCTCCTCCTTTTTTGTTTTTTGTAAAATATTTTGAATCAGGTTTCAATATTCTGTGTTGGCTGTGTGACCTGCTTCTGTTCTGTGGTGAGTATCCTTGCATCCAAATAAAGTGGGCTTCTAGAGCCTCCTTTGCTTCTATGGTGGTTAGCCTAAGTAATTCTCTTGTCACTTCTTCCAGTAGCCATTTCCACACTCTCCCCAAGCACTGGAACAAAAATACAAGTGGAAACTGCTGCTTTCTAGAATGACTAGTCTATTAAACTGTGGGGGTTAGAATTTAAGGGTTTGGGACACTGTATGGTAAAAGGGACTGAGACTGCTATTAAGGTGGCTACTAGACCCATGGACTTTAGTGTACTCATTTCATGTCCTTCCCTTCTCTCAGAGGATTTATGTTGTTTTCTCAAACTTTCGCCTTCAACTATTTTGCCTTTCTGTTTTCCCTTTCCCAGCTAACTCTGGGAAAGATTATTCAAGCTTTCTTTCCTTTAAGCATCCTTACTTCTGGAAAAATCTAAATGAAGAACCTTGGATGTTTTTCCTACATCTTCTGAGTCTCTGATATAGGGAACGGTTAAGTATTTAGAGCTCATTTTTCCTAGCCTGTCTACACATCTCTTCAAGTTTACTTTTCAAATTGAAAAGAAATATTTTAAAAGCATAGGAGTCATGGCATAAAAATGATTCTTAAAATGATGCATTATAATGTTTCCTAATAAGTAGCTTAAGTAGTTATTCAGTTTCTGTTGTATTAATATTTCTGATAGTAAGTACTGAACATTATTCAGAGAGATGAAAAGCCAGTTTCAAATAAGATGGTGTGCAACTAATTGATGCAACTAGCCATGTAGATATCTCCTAATTCTAGATTTCTTAATGCCTTTCTCACTGTAGTTTCTATTACACTGTTTGTTTGTTTTTTGCTCTTTTGGTTACTGAACTCCATAAAACAATACAGGAGCATCAAAAATATTTTGTACAGTCTTTGGGTTCATTCATAATTTAAGTCAACTAACAGACTTCTAACTATTAGTAATTTTTTAAAGTATATTATAAACAATCTAATATACTTTGGGTAGTTAATCATGAGCAGGGATTTTAGTTTGCAGATTCATGCTGTTATGCATTGAGATATTCTACCCAATTTTTTATGAAGGAGCAAAGGGAGGCTTCATTAAATTTCAAAGGCCTATCTTGTGTCTGACCATCAATGTGCTATTATTACACTAATGTCTTGTTCCTCATGAAGAAAATCTTTTTCTATTTTTAAATCCCCTGTCACCTTCCAAATCATCATTTTTGAGAATCTACCAATCAAAGGAAATTGTGATTCTTTGAGCCTCTCAGCTGTACTCTTTGTAACCATGGAAACCAAGCCAAACTGTTACCAAGGTTACCTTCCTGAATCCATGATTTTATTCTAATTGTCAGTTTTTCCTAGGATTAATGAATGCATTGAAAGTTTAACACAAATAATGCTATATTTGTGTATAATTTATAGGTTATTATATGTTTATTTTTAATTCTTACCAATTTAAAATTATACACGATTAGATTTATAGTTTAAAATAGAGGAACAAGCACACTCACTTGGCAATATTTTGAGCAATTGAATGTCTAAAAAGAATTAATTTGACCTTGAGGCCGAGAATATTTTCCCTTTAGTGGCACATTTTTAGTATCTTAAAGTTATTTGTCATTTTCTTTTTTCTTTCACCCAACTTCATTCTGTAATATTGTATGCCATATTATAAGTGCTATTATTAGTCTTTAATTTTTGTAGTAAACCTATGAATAAAACATAGAGATCCTTGTTATAGATAAACAATAGAAGATAAATTATACAAACCTTGAAAATATATGAAAAACAATTGTATATTTTTGCATATATTGAAGTGAGGTGAAAGGAAGAGTAATGTTATTAAATGGCTAATATTGTTGAGAATCAATAGGTATTGTTTAAATTGATAAATCCAGAATCTTAAGCATATTTTAGGATAATATTATAAGTATTTTCTGATATTTATGATATTTAGATAGTTGAATATTTTCAGACTATTTTAAGACTATCTTCTAATAAAATTTTTAAAAGACAGTGGAACCAGGGGTTAGATGTTGGGTTCAGATCAAGGTTTTTATTGTTTTGCAGTGTGGAGTGGTGTTTTTCACAGTAAATAAGAATATCTAAGACATTTCATTGCTTTCCTAATTGAAAATGACCCATAGTACATATGCTTTTCTAGGAAGATCTTATTCTCCATAAATACTTCTTTTCAAATTGTCCTTTTGTTTCATTTTTTTTTTTTCTGTTAGAGAGATACAGAGGCATGTATCAGTGCCACTGAGGGCCCAAATGTGGAGCAAGAGCAAAAGGAAAGGCTAGCTTATGCAGTGCCTGAGTGTGATGAGGAAGGGAATTGCAGGAGTCAGAGTACCAACAGGAACCCAATAACACCTTCAAAATAGAAGAAGATCAGGTGTGTTTATTTACAAAGGGATTATTTACACATTTGTGAGTGTAGGACCCAGAATGAATATCCCTCAGGCTATTAGTTAGTCCCCAAGGGACAAGTGTGTGATTTGCGTCAGTAACCCAGATGGAGAGAGGGAGTCATGAAGAGATTGAGACAGGGAAGTAGATTCTCTGTTCTCACTCTCCTCTCACATTCCTATCTCCTAGCTCCTCATTGACTAAATTCCAATAAGAAGCCTGAAGACGTGAAGGCTCTATTTTGTAGAAGGTCAAATTCAGCTTCTCCAGGGAGACAGCAGGGTAGAGGTAGGTGGAGATGGGCAGAGAATGGATGTCTAGGGGCAAAAGAAAGAATGTCTGTCATGGAACCTCTACATTGAGACTCATTTCTGATATTGTTAGAACTGAAATTTTACTTTTTTTTTTTTTTTTTTTGAAATTTTACTTTTATCTGTCGGAAAAATTGTTGTAATTAATATACAAATTTTCCATGTCTACCATGTGAGTGGCCTCCTCATACATAGAACAACATTGTGTCCTTGTACAACTTGCAAAGCCATGCCTGATGGGTGAGCAAAAATTTAGAATGAGAAACCTAGCCTGATTCCGTTCATGGTGTTTTTATTTAAAATGCCCCGCTAACAAGTAAAGTGGAGCTACTATGAATTTAAATTTCATTGCATCACCAGGATCACACTGATGGAATTCAGAAGTTGGGGGAACTAATCCCATTAAGATGCTGCAGATCCTAAAACTCCACCATTGGAGAATTCCTTTGAATTCTATTTTCTATAGCCCTAATTAAAACATATACACCCACATTTCGGGAAACACAACAAAATGATTCTTACTAGAGGAACAATAACTTTAAATATTTTTTTCCTTATTAAAAGCTTGAGGGCATCTCAAAAGGGAGATGGCATCTCTCAAGGGGACTTGAGAAAGGGAGGGGTTGAAGGAAGAAAAAGGGAAAGAAGAAAGCATGCACTTAACATCTTTTGTATCAGATGCTGCACTAGGGGATTAAATGTAATATGTATACATTTAATTTAATTACATTTAATACATTTAACTTAATTAAATTAATTTAATTACAACAAATTGATAAGGTGAGTAAATTTCTGTCCCCACAAACACTGTGCATGTTTTCTACAAAATTTGGTTCCAACCATGTTCGTTGATTGTTCTTCAGTTGAAGGTGATTATGAGCCATAAAACCCCAAATATGGAGAGGAAAGAAATGTGAGAAAGTAATAGACTAGATCAATGAATTTCAAAATGTGTCTTGGGAAAACCTCATGTTCCCAGAGGAGACCTCTGGAACTTCTGTATGAGGGCAAGACTGGGGGCCCCAGACAGGTTGAGCAGGTGAGAATGTGGACCCCCACTTTCCTTTTTTTAAGCAGAGAAGCTTTGGTTTTATTTCAAGATTTTCTTAAAAACAAATGGCCTAGAAAGTCTAAAAGTTTTATGATCACTTGCTTCATAGTCATTCAAAATTACCTCTAATGTATCAGTGGCATAACGCTTTCAAACATTACAGTTAAGTAGAAATTAAGCAATAATCAGCTTGGTATTCACATAAAACACAATTTGCCTATTTTGTTCCACAAAAAAAATGGCCTTAACTCATTTAAGGCCAGATAGCTCATTAAACAAACATGTGACCCCATACAAGAAGTTTTTTTTCCAGAAAGCTAAAACAGTAGAATGTGACCTCCCAGGCAAAAGATAACTTTCATGTTACTTCTTAAGATCTGGCATTTATTTTAGGGGGTGGGTAGGGAGGCAGAAGGGCACTCTCTTTTTGATTATTCTCTTACATTTATCAAGAGACTAACTTTAAATAATTTATTGAATTAATAAACAATCTATTTACTATGAATATTGCATTTTGGTGCCAATGCTGAGTCTTGAAGTGATCTGTAGTTTTGTGCAGGAAAGTGAAGGTGTGAAACCTGCCTGTCAAGCTACATAGAAGGTCTTAAGTGACTCTGCCACCAAGATATCTTGAAAAAAGTGAAGGTAAAATAATGCAAAACTTTTATCTTTTGTTTATAAATGAAATGAGATTATCAAAGTAGGAGACTCTAGGGATCACACAGAAGCTCACTATATCCCTTTCTATTGTTAGTGTGCTAGAGGAAAGGGAAAAATTAAATAGTTTACAGGTTAAATTAGACAAAGATAAAAAACAACGATATCTGAGAGTTTTCTGTCTTAAAAATTGTTATATACAGCCAAAAAAAAAAAAAAAAGAAAAGGAAACATGACTTTTCATCTAATTCATTTTTGACTTTATATTTGTGCATATTAGTGTGCAAGAGAATTCACAGAAGAAAACCAATTGTTTACTCAGGTAGAAACAAATAAAACACTGGCAAGGAAAGAATGTGAAAATTGTAGTTGACTTTGGCTTCAAGTATTTTTGTACATAAGGAAATTGAGGTAGGGGCCATGTCATCTGTGTTTAATCTTTCCACTCATATTTTATCTTCTTATTAGCAGGAAGAATCTGAGAAATGTTACATTAGCCTTTGTAAGGTGCTCCTCAGAAGGCTAATTAAAGTAGAAGTAAAGGATCAAAGAACAGTGCTGCAGAGTTGTAAGTGAGCTCCAGGGTTTACCTACTTCATCTCCTTACCCTCAGGCACATTTTACAAGTAATTTGGACAGATTAACCTAGAGGAAAGGTGATTCCACGAACCATTTCTAGTAATTCATTGTAATGATTTTTTGACCTCCCCTTACTGGCAGAAAGTACTGAAATCTGTGTGAAATGCTTTGTGCAGGAATGAATCATGTGAAAAAAAAAGAAGCAACGTTTTTCTCGTTTGCATCTCTGCCACTTGCAATGTCAGATCCTTTGTCTCTTTTATTTGAATAGAAGCTTCTTAAAATATGTGTCAATATTTGCCTTCTCAACTTCCTATACTCACCCACCATTTGCTAGTATACTTAGACAAGTGCAATCTGCTTCTAACTAAAATCTGCTCCCTAACTCAAAGGCCTATCTGTTGTCTGAAACTATTGTTTCCAAGGTAACATGTGGCCCTCTGGTTGCCAAACATAAATAAGCTTTGAAATCTTTGTTCACCTGACCTTTCTTGGCACTTAACTGTTGATAACTCTCTTGTTTCAAAACACTTTCCTTCTTTGGCTTATTTGATAGTATTTCCTCTGGGTTTTGCTTTTATGACTCTGAGGACTTTCTTATGTTTACCCAACTTTTATTTCTGGTATTACCTATGCTGCATCCCTGATACTCTTTTACATTCTCATTGTGTACTCTCTCCCTGAGCAATCTTATCTACATGCTGGCTCTAATCCCTATGAATTTCAAAATCCATAATAGTTCATACTGCTCTTCTGGTCTTCAGATTTCTATACACATTGTTATGAAAATGTATAAATAATTATCCATACTGATTACTCAAAAAGCTCTTATGTATACACACACACATCTCCCCCACCATGACCATGACCATCACCATCAACAACTCTATGATATATCGGATTTTTAACAGCACAAATCTCTGTTGTATGCCTTTCTATGGACCAGTTATGGTGCTGATGTAGGACTTAGAATCAAATGAAATACACACATGACCTTCTGAGATCTGTGGGTCCAGAGACACTGTTCTTTCTCTTAGATCTACATATTAGGGACTACCATACCATCTTGTCGTTCTCGATCATAGGACCAACACTATTCTGTGCCATAACTGCCCATTTTCTTATGTACATCTCTCCCACATAGTGTCAAAAGGGCAGGAACTTCCTCTAGCTTATTTATGTCTCATTCTAACTCAATATAGATTTGTTGACTTGAATGGATTTTTCCCAAGTGCCACAGTGAGTACACTGTCAGTCTGTTTTGGGTTGCCATAACAAAATACCATAAACTGGGTAGCTTTTAAACAACAGAATTTATTTCTCACAGTTCTGAAGGCTGAGAAATCCAAGATCAAGGCATTGGAAGAGATTGAATTTTTGGTGAGGTCCCTATTCTGGTTCATAGACAGTGCTTGTCCTCACATGGTGGAAGAAACAAGGGGACTCTTTTGGGCCTTTCTTATAAGGGCACTAATCCCATTCATGAGAGCTCCATCCTCATGACCTAATCAGTTCCCAAAGGCCCTGCCTCCTAATATCATGACCTTCAGGGTTAAGATTTCAACATATGAATTTGGAGAGGAACACAAACATTTAGACCACAGCTCCCACCTAAATACTATATAAATTTGGTATAAAAAGAAAATTATTATTTTCTCCCCTGAGTTTCATTTTCATACTTCTGTAATTAATCTCCCAGCAGGTCAAGAACATTCTATTTAGCCATTCGCAGTATGTTTTAGAAATTTATGAACTAAATAGAAGGAATCATATAAAATGCAGGTAACTTTTGGTAAACCTATGGCTTATTTGGCCAAACATGTATAAATACAACCTCAGACATTAAAGAACTACCAACTTATAAAAGCATGTGGAATTGTGTGTGCATGTGACATTATAGCTAAGATATGAAAAAATGTTAGAGATTTTGTTGAATCTTCCCATTTAAATGTTCTTATATATTTTTGTTGGGCAAAAACCTTTCATATTGATATTAGCCTGTGCCTCACAGTAAAAATATTGATCATATTTCCAAGATTTTTACTTGTGTGAGAGATAAGCGTATTCTGTGAAGTCCCTGAGATTATATACAACTATTGTTGTCTGTATAAAAGTTTATTTTATAAAAGAAGCTCTGTTGCTTTTCTCAAATTCTCGGGAGGATCTGTTTTTCCCCAAATGTTAAGAACCATAGTGATAATATTCTTTAATTTGTGTTATATTTTACAATTATTATTGAGAAAGAAGAATATTCAGAGAAAATGCAAAGTGAATACCTGAGGCCAATTTTTTTTTTTCTACACAGAAATGCAAGCTCTCTTGATGCTGACCCTACAAGGGCATTTCTATTTGTATCTGAATAGATTTATTTCTAGATTTGGAAAATAGCCCATGTTCCATTACCATGCAGCCCACATAATGCTTGCGATTGCTAATTAGGGTACAAATTGTGGTGGTATATATCTGGTGACCTGGGCATGTGTTCAATAGAAACAGAAATGAGCCTCTCAACTCATTTTGCATAGGCCAGAAAACATCTGCCAGATGGTTATAGTTTTCAGTAACTATAAAACTGGATCACATTTGAACAAATGACTTAGATATATAGTGTTTAAGAGCTTACTCTAAATTTTCTAACATATCCGTGGAGATTAGTCTTAATGAAAAACTACATTAATCTACTTCATGCATTGTGATTAGCCTAAAATGGATAATTTCTTCTCACTTTAGCCAAAGTCGAGCTAAAAACGCTTTTAGCCACTTTTATATAATGCTGACAAAACACCTGGGAGATTTATTGATATAAGGGTATCTATTAGGACATCAAAATTAATTTCAATTCCCTCAGGTATCTTATTTTAATTAACAAATCCATGATACTATTCTGTTAATTAGCATTTCAAATAATAAGTTTGAGATGAATTTAATTCTAACAAAGTATTTATCTTCTATAATAATAAAAAGAACATTAACAATCTCAATCTAATTTGTTTTATTCTTTTAATAACAGTCCTGAATTCCATCCAGAAGAATAATATAATTAATATTCATTATTTTTATTTGAAGCTTTATTTTCAGTGTGCATATCTTTCCAAAGCCTCATTATCAGTGGCACAATAGTTTTAACATTGTATCTTTTAAAGTTTATTAATGTGAGCACAAGTTCATTTAATATGTTATATTGTTACATTTTCTCTTAGGTATAAACTACATATTTATTTCACTCCCAGTTTGTTTGTTTTTGATGTGCTGCTGAGCATGACAGGAAACAAGTTGGAAGAATCAGTAAACAGCTCCCTATTTCACCCAAACATACAATTTTTGCATAGTCATATATTTTAACCTAGATTGCTATTTTTGGTAAACCCTTGTATTTTGAAGCTTATCTTAAAGCTACAACATTTTAGACAATAGAATAATTAACAGATTAATAGTGCATCTTGTATCATACCGAAAGTTCCAATATAATAAAAAGTGTTGAACAATTTCAAATAATTTTGTCTTACATTAAGCCACAAATAATGGCTTCAGGAGGTATAATATTAGAGAAACCGGATATGAAAACCTAAATGGCATCATTCTAAAACTCCTCATAGAACATTTCTAGTTATATATCTGCTTTTTTGCCAGCGTGTTTTTATCTAAAGGCATCACAGAATTGTTCTGAAATAAAATTCTGAAAATTAAATAATATACAACACAATAAAAATCAAGATTTTGTATATAGTTTCTGTTTTTGCACCTGTCACACTGACAACCTATATTGTATGTTATCATAAAGAGTCAGATAGCAAGTATTTTAGGTTGTGGGCCAAAAGGCAAAATTGAGATTATTATGAAGTTGATTATATAACAAATGAGGAAACAGATTTCTATGAATCTTATTTACGAAATTCAAAAGCATAAAAATTGAAGATAATTTTGGTAATACAGGTCTATGAAAGAGGATAATGGAGTTCTCTTTTAGAAACAATATTTTGCTTAATTTGGGTTCAAAGTTAGTGTTTCATATGATCAAAATCAATTATAATTGTTCATCTGTCAATGCTTATCTGATAAGAGATTTTATATATTTTGTCTTTGAAAATGCCTTTCACACACGTAGGTACTACCAAATACTGATATTAACTCATGAGCATATATAAGTCACTTGTAGAATTTTGTTAAATTCTTCTTTACGTATTTACCTATTAGCATGTCATTACATTTCAGATTATTCACTTCCAATTGAAGGTGAAGTGGAAGCTTTTCACTTACACAGTTGAATAGATTTTAAAATATGGAAATTTCCTTTGAACTTGGAAGTACTAGAACAATATTTTGAGCTAGAAAAGTATATCTCCTGAAAAATTGTGTGGGAATAGAGGTATTCCTTTTTTTCTTAAATTTTCACAGCCTAGGAAGTGTAAAAAGCAGCTTGACATTACTTGTAATTCAAACAATGTTAGTTGTCATCAAAATTATTTCCTGCAGTATAAGTTTTGTATATAAATGATGTTTTCTCTCATAATTTTAGGTTAAATTAATTAAGAAACATCACCAAGTCTACAGCAAAAGGTAATTTCCAAAGCTATTTGGCATTCAAAACAGGGTTCAAAATGTAATCATCTTAATCACAAAATTTCAATCTTGGCCCTGACTTCAAAAAAATCGTTATGCATCATTGTCACTGCTAAGATATCAAGTTTCTATCAGGGTATTCAGCTTCTATTTCTGATACAAATTCACAAAATTGATGCTGACTGCATCCACAGAGCCAATGAAGATCACTGTTGACACTATTGGTAGTGGCTTACTTAACATAAACTATTTTATTCTTGTTGCATTTATTGACAATAATTCACTGAGTTAGTTCAGGTCCTATAAGAGGCACACACCAAGATGGAATTAGACATGCAAAAAGATGTATTGGAGAAAACATTTGCAAGGGATAGATGAGAAGGAGCTGGAGGAGGTGAGAATGCAGTTCTGACCTATGTGAAAGAGAGAAGGAAGGAAGTTTTTGCAATGCAGTTTGAAGAAAGTTTTGGTCAAGCCAATGAGGAGTCCTTAACTCAAAGTCACCTGCCCGAGTTGTCTCTGTTGTGCTCAAGTATGGCCTCAGTATAATCATGTTTGTAAATTTGAGTGCAGCAACTATGGCCATCAATAAATTATAATTCCGTCAAGACATCTGAATGGTGCATTTTCATGGCTGCCACAATTCCCATGGGGCTCTCTTACTGTGGGGAAACTCAAAAGAGAGAAATTTGTGGGATGAACTATAGCCCCAGGCACTGCAGGTGATCTCAGGCTGCAACTGGTACTCATCCTTTTCTTTCTACACAAGCCACTCTAAATCCTCCTGTGTTCAGCTGTCACTTTTGCAAATCTTGACTGCCTCCCTGTTTGTGTGACACAAATCTTCATTCCTGAGCATCTGAATGCGTGATGATCATACCCCATTCAGGCCTGAGTTGCTGCATGAAACTTTTCAATGGGGCAAGGGGGTACCAAAAGGTGCCCAAGTGGATAATTTGAGTTCCGTGTGTTGCTTCCTACACTCCCTGTGTAAAAGCAGCCCTACCTTCTCTTGTTGGGTCAATTACTCTTATTAGTATGGTGATACCTATTCTTGTTGACTGGTCCCTGGACACAAGGAGGACTGGAGGACATTGTGCTCTGGTGACAACTGTAGCTTATAATTCGTAAGAATATAGCCTTTTTAGATGTCAGGACCTCCATTCCTGCACAGCTTAGAGTTGTAGAGGTGAGAAGCACAAAAGTCTCCTGTGGACCATTGGCAGTGATGTTAAGTAGAGTCACTCTTATTTCTACCCTTTGATTCTTGAATCCACGTATTTTTATTATTGGTACACAATACCCTACTGAAGCCTCTGATTTAGTCCAATTAAAACATACCAAAGGATGGCACCCCATCCTTTCAGAGAATTGCCTTTCTGCTGGTGCTGAAGCTGTGCCTTTAAAAAGCTGTTCCAGCATTCCATAAAGCCAGCTGCTTCTACATGGTTGGTATAAACTTAACCAGTAGATTCGATGGTCATAGACCCATTCTCTTATCTCCTTCACTGCAAAGTAGAACCCTTGTTTAGATGCTATGCCATGTGACATCTTGCCTTTGAACCAAGAATTCCATAAAAGCTTATAAACTGCAATGGTGCAGGTAAGAATGGCAAACTCATATTCAGAATAAGCATCTATCCTAAGACAGATGTACTTATGGCCTTACCAGTATGGAATGAGGCTAAGTGGTCAGTTGATCTTCCCAAATAATAGTGCCATATTGATGTCAAGAACTGTGAAGGAACTGACATTTTATCCTATTTTTAAGCTAATAAATTTGCTTGCCATAATTTCACAGATTTTGGAGAAAATGAGACTTGAATCAGAGACAATGGGCAGTTTATTACTTAATGCAATAGCAGTAGAGTATCATGTTTTTAAATTAATATTATTTATGATTGACAAATCATAATTATATTCCCCTTATGGAGTACAGTGTGATATTTTCATATATGTATACTATGTAGAATGATTAAATCAAGCTGATTAACATATTCATCACCTCACTTAAAATTTTTTTGTGGTGAAATATTTGAAATTTACTCTTAGTTATTTTGGAATATACAACACATTATTACTGACTATAGTTGCCCTGCTGTGCAACAGATATTAAAACTTATTCCTCCAGTGTAGCAGAAACTTTGTATCCTTTGACCAGCAGCTCCCTATTCCCTTACCTCCTGACCCCCAGCCTCTGATGGCATTCATTTTAGTCTCTACTTCTAAAAATATCATTGTTTTTGTTCTGGTTTCCATAGCTCCAATCCCCAAAGAGGTTTGTAAAGAAGAATATACATGCAGTAAGTTGAACTACAGGACAAGCTTAGAGAACCCAGATATTTTATAATGGGAAATAACATGTATCTTTTCCCCAGAGGGAGGAATTGCTGTTATTATACTGGATAGTGAATAAATCTGCCCTTTCCCTCAATGAAAGACATGATCTATCTTTCAAGGATGTTTGTTGTAAAAACACTCTTGAGAAAATAGTTCTGAGAAAGAGTAGCCAGTACCTCCACTAATAAAACATGCAGACATATCAAGTGCACAGTTGGTCTCTGTTGTTGAACACTTTAAACATTCAGAAGCAAGAGTAGCTATACAGAACTTGGTAAGTGGGAGCCCATGCTTATTGGTCCTTATGCAATCTCTGTCTCTACTGCTGTGACTATTTCTTTAATGTACCCTCTCTGTCAGGTCTGGAGTTGTTGATGATGACATTTGTAATGTCAGTTAACCAAATAATTTTGTCTACTTATTTGTCTAGTCTCTTTTCCATGGTGCATACTTTCTGGTGGGCATTAAAGAGGATACAAAAATATACACACTTTCTGTTTACTCCATATATCCAGACATGTGACTTTACCCCATATCTTTTTATCTCTGATCTTTCAATACTTTCCCTTCTAGTCCCTTGAACAGAAGATAACGTGATTGGCTACTGCCAAAACCTTTTTGCATAATTATAGCTTAGGCCACTTCTCTCTCACCAAGTAGATAAACAGGTTCACAGCTTTGCAACTCACCTCACTGGGAATATTTTCTTTCTGTAATATCTTTCAAGGCCACCCAAGAATATGGCTGTAATGTAGTCACTGTCCATTTTCAGCTGACATACTGAGCTAATCCATTAATAAACCAAGGTCTGGATTTTTCCTCCTCCTTCAGCTGGCCACATGGGGCCCCTCTATATAGCTATAGCACACTTATGAAGGTAAATGTGGGTGTTGTGGACAATGAAACTAGCCACAGTGGCTACTGGAAATAAAGCCTTAATTGAGTCTTAGAAGATAAGAAGGCAACTTGGACATTCAGCAAGTAGGACAAGACATAGATTATCTCAGGCCTGTCTGTCTTCCCATGTGCTCCAACATAGTGCTTTCTCCTTCAGAATTCAATTTAAAAAAAAAGAAAGAAAAAACAGCCAAGGCTTGTGTCCTTTGGCCCTGATGTACTTTGTGAATTGAACCCTTGCAATCTGTCAAATGACAGATACTGCAGTACTCAGAGAAGTACATGTTGTAGTAACTCAGAGAAGTGAAGCTAAAGGATAAAAAGGAATTGTTAAGTCTAGCCATATGTTGTATATACCATTCATAAGTATGTGTAACATAAAGAACAGCTTGCCTTAACATTGTATTTTTTTTCCAGATCCATATGTACATCCGGATATTGGCATTATTGTGTTATCATCTTTAAAGAAGGAGGAATGGATGAAAGCATTGGCAGCATAATGAATTGGCTGGGAACACAAACATTAAAGCAAGAGCCACATATAATAATATATTCAGCGACATGGCAGGGAAAATAAACAATAGTGCTATCGGATGAGCAAAAGCAATGGACCCTCAGCTTCCATGTCACAGAGAACAGTAGGAGCAGTAAGGAGCACATTCTCTATGTCGAGGGGTGTCATTCCAACCATTTGTAGGAACACAGCCCAAAATTGTCAATGGGGGAACACAGCCCAAAGTTGCCAATCTTCTGATCTTTAAGAGAAGGTAGAAATATATTTTAAAAATAATAATCCCAATTTTTAAATAGTGGAAAGTAATTTAATTTTATTTATATGGTTTGCAACAAAAGAAATTACACCTGTGTACTACATACTCCCATAGGCTGCTAGTTTTAGCTTCCCCTTTAGAATTAGTCAAATCTTAATTCAATCTTGATTGATATGCACCTATGTGATTCTTGGGCAAGTCTTTAACCTGTTAACACCTTTATTCCCATGCCTTTAAAATGGTAGTAATTATAGATCCTTCACAGAGTTGTTTTAAGGATAAAATCTGATCATGAAAAGCTCTTAGTACAATGACTTGACACTGTACCTGGTGTGTGGTAAGGCCTCAAAATAATAGATAGTAGTGATAGTATCAATTTTTATGTCAGGTACCAAGAATCCCAGTAAGATTTATTATTTATAGAAAGATAAGTAAAATGTAACTGTTTCAGGTTTTGCAGAAAGAGAATTTATACATTTTTCCCAGGGCAAAAATAGGCAAAACAAACAAGAAAAGAATAAAAATAAATACATGCAAAATCTTCTTTAATAATAATGAAGAACCTGAATCTTTGCTTGGAAACACCACATTTTTTTTTTAAATGACTTAAGAGCTTTTGTGAAATTTAGAATTTGGCTAATTGATAATAAACCTGGCATTTACTAATGACAGAGGACTTGTATTTATTCATACTTTTACTTTGGATATTGAAAAGTAAATCAGTACAATTGCACAATGAGGACGACTTCTTAAATCTAAAAAGGAAACCTAAAAATATCGCTGTTTAACTACATAAGCCATGATTGAATTTTTAACTCTAATGTGTAGTAGATTTAAACCTCAGATGAACTAATGACATGGTTTTGAAAAGGCTTTGCGGATTCTGAAAAACTAACTAATTTTCAGTGTTCTCATTGACCACAAAACTACAGATTTCTACCTTTGTACACATATAGAAATTACTGTGCATTTTTCTTAAATAACTTATAACTTATAAAATTTTGATATACTCTAAATAAGTTGAATAAAAATATGCACTTAGACCAGGCAATATAATATTAGAATCCATTTTGAGCTTTTATTCTTAGAAACCTATTTTGAAGTATCATGCAAACTCTAGTTGGGTATATTGATCTGCTCTCCTAGGAAATTATTTCAAATTGTAGGCTTTAGGGTAAGCACAGGGCATATATCATAAATAAAATTATCTTCCTAACAGAGAACTACTTTTGCAATTCATGCAATAGCCACCTTCCTGAGCCTTTCTTCTTCAATTTGCACAGACCTAGACAATACCAAAATTATGTTATGTCATTCTTGTGCCTGAAATTCTTCAGTGACTTATGGGTACCCTTAGAAAATACTTCTTACTATGGCCTTTAAAACCTTACAAATTCTGTTACCTGCCTACCTCCCAGACATCTTCCTCCCTGCTCTGAACCTCTCTCTATAAAATCCAGCCACTATTTATAATCGCAAAAAACCCCAGAAATAACCAAATATCTGTCATAAAGCTGTTGGTTGCATAAACCATAGCATGCCGTCCCAATGGGGCACTATGGAGTACTGCACAGCTTTCTCTGTATACATATATACATATATGTGTGTATTATGTATATGTCATATATATCACATGTATCTATGTTACATATGATTGAAAAAAATATATATATGTGTGTGTGTGTGTGTGTTCAAATGCAACCACAAGAATAATAGTTACTTATTACAGAAGTAGGAGCAAGAGGACGGGCAGGGCAGAAAGATTAGAATGGCAGCTAGACTTCACTTTGTTTTGTAGATTTAACTTTTCAACTACCTACATATTTAAATTTGAAAAATTCAATCCCAGAAAGCCAAACTCAAAATCCAATAAATCCAACTGGGTATTTATTGGTGGACTAACCACACAGTAGGTGGAAAGATTATTTTATTCCTAATAATTTAGACTCCCCTTGAGCTTGTATACATTAGAATAATTAAAACTTCTTTATTCTGCTTTTTCCCAGATTCGTCTTGCAAACAGTTCATGTTCTGCCACTTGGGGACTTCCCTGGGTCAATGTAGCCTACAGGGATCACACACATGCTTGCCCTCACCCATCTTTCATATGTAATGATGCCTCCTGCTTCATTTTTAAGTTTCACACATCTCCAATTAGAATCTGGCACCAACTCTAGCAACTCATGTACTCCAGAAATCCCAGATCAAATTTTCCAAGTGGTTGGGTTGAAGCCCTCCCACTTGTTTTGAGATGAGTGGAAAGCACAATTTTTCCCTCCCCACAGAGCTGGAGGATAATGTGGCCCTGTGACAATTCTCTCCCCAAACTGTTCTCTCAAAGTCATCCTTGAATCACTCTCCCCACTTCCTCTCATATACCCTTGTAGTGCGTAATGGGCTAAGACATCTATTTTTGAGTCATCACTCAATACGATCAGTGTAGATTCTCTGATCTCTCTTTTAAAGATAAGAAGAATTATCCTCTTTTGTTCTCTGGTTTTGAGCTTCAACTAAAAGTAAAAGTCCCAAAACTATAGACCTAATGGTTTAATGGTCCTGGACCAGGGGTCCTCAAAGTTTTTAAACAAGGGGCCAGTTCACTGTCCCTTAGACCGTTGGAGGGCCGTTGGAGAGTGCAGCGCACATTCCACACAGGCACACTGTGGGCCCGGGATGAGTCAGCTGCTAAGCAGGACAGGCAGCAGTGGCAAAAAAACCCAGCAAAAACACAGACTTTTTTGCAAACTACTGGACTGCCAATATTAGGCAACCCAGCCACTTTTAAAAATAAGCATCCAAAAGAGTACTTCATGCTGAATGGGGATAACGCCATATATTCTCTTTGTGAAGTACCAATGAAAAGTGAACATATATTTGAGCAGAGTGACATGAGGACTTTCCTACTGCATGTGAAGCACACATCCTGGAGTCAAGAGAATAGTAAGAGATAGAAAATGCCTGGTTCTTAATTTCACTATTGTGGAAAATAAATGTCTATAACTTAAAACAAAGTCAAGAAGTGGATGTAAAAAAGCGTATAAATTAAAGCTCAAAATAAATTATAAAAAAAGAGGTAAAAATTAAAGATGATTCTCACTGGGAATTAGAAAATGGAAATTCTTTGATAATACAGTGAAAAAAGCAAGTAAATTGTAGGATAGATTTTTTGTATTCTTTTAAATAATTTGAACAGTTTTTTTCCTTTTGTAAAGTGCTAAATATTAGCATCATTTTGCTCTTAAATTTGCATAATGAAATAAAGCTAAAACATTTGGGAAAAATAAAATTAGAATATCAACCTGCTCTAAGCATAATCAGGACTATAAATAAGTAAATATTTGGTTTTGAAAGTTTAGACAACTATTTTTGAGAAAATATGTGAAGAAATAGTAGATCTAGTGGCAAAATACAAAGGGACTGCAGATCCTGTTTATCATGCCCCTCAAAACTCATGTTTACCTCAAGTGGGCTCTTTATTATCTTCAAATATACTCTTCATGGCTAGCCTTTTTTCACACAGTCTATGGTGAGGCACAAGAAAGTTCAACTAAAAAGTATAATTGATTTTCCATCTAAATTATCAGAAAAACACTTATATACAAACAAATATGAAATATATATGTAGGGTACAACTAAATATATTTTCTACTTTGAAAGTGGAATATTTTCTTTATGTCCATTTGTCCAGTGAGATGTATATTTTATCTACCTCTATTATAAAAGGACACACTCAGGAGTTGAAGGGAATTTTATGTTGCAAAGAAAACCCTTCCAACAACTTCAAAGGAAAATCCTTTTCTAAACAAAAACATAAAAAAGGTTATTGGTTCAGAATTGAAATGGGAAATATTGGGTATGAATATTAGATAATTTAGGTTAAGTGGTGTATTTATTCAGTAAGGGAGATTGTGGTTGACATCCCAACATCCGTGCATTTCTCACATATATGTAGATGTTATGCAATTTATCAAATTGTCCCTAAATCTGAGAAGGGACACCTGAGAGTTCCAAGGCAATCATGAAATTCCTGCTGCTCATATCAGCATTCAGGAATTTAGGCGTAAGCCAGCCAGTGCATTGCATTTCCCTGGTGACAATTATTGGGGATATAACTTTAATGGCCAAATCAAATAGAATAAAATATTTTGTGCTGTTAGGGCAGAGATGTTTTCTTTCTCTTAACCTGGTTATGAACAAGAAAACATGTGGCTTTGATTGGTACTGATAACCATCTTAAAACCATGAGATTGGAAGCGGCCTTAGATTGAAACTATACATGGCAGAATGAACAGACCGAAAGAGCTGGTCCTTAATGATAGATTATTTAAGCCTGTACTGTCTGTTATGTAGGCCAAATATTCCTTTGTTGTTTAAGCCATTTTGAATTTGCTTCTGTGTGTAAAATGTGGCTGAAATTATCTTAACATATCTGTAATTAGGGTAAAAGTTTGATCTCCTAATATTAAATAGTTGCCAAGAACAGTTAACTAATGTTCATTACACTAAGGTAAATATTTAGATTATTTCTTTACTTATTTATTTTTGCTTTTTAATATCAAACACTGAAGTAAACTATGAAGCATTTAGCCCAGTGCCTAGCACAAATAAATGCATATTTAATAAATAGTATCTATAAAATAAAAAACTGTAAATATTAATAATTTTTCAATTAAAGGGAGACATTTCCATAGCAGAGCCACCTAGTGGAGAGAAGAATGGGCTCTGGGAACAAAAGTTTATTATTATTTGTTTTAATATTTCAGAGTTTCATGAAACAAAATTTATGATGCAAGTGATTATTTTTATAAGATAAGTAATGTAAAATGAAAATTATACTTTTGCTAATAACTCATCATCTATATTTCATCTATCATTGTTATATGGTAAATTAATAATTTTAATAGATAATTATTTTGATATACATATATTAGTAAGTGATGGGAATACCAATGTTTATGTATGTGTGCTTGTTACTGTCCAAGGACAAAAAAATTCCCTGTACAAAAGTTTTAGGACCCTTTCCCCCTCTTCTCCCTACAATAGATCAGCAGCATAAAACTTAATCCTTAGCTTTTTCACTTCTTAGTTGTCCAGCATGCAAATTAGTGTTTGCCAATATTTCTACAGATCATTGATCTATGATCAAGCATCTTAAAATTATTAGTTAGCTCTAAATTAAAAGAAAAGCACTAATATTACAATTTTTTCTTATGAAATAAATGTATTTTTAGGAATATTTTGCAACATCAGTGGAACAAGAAAATGTATTAATACTTTCCTTTCCTAAATATATATAGTGACTTTCTTTTATGTTTAAATCACTGTACTATATTTACTCCATCTGTTTTTTGGGATTTACAGATTTGGGGATCTTGTGTACAAGTAGGATCAGAGTACAAAAACGTTTATGAAAAATTCAGTGTGATTTCTTTCATCTTTGCTCTGTAATTTCAAATACATATAGGTATGTGTGTATCTGTATGCAGATACAGACACTTACACATATATATTTGACTATGACATTTGCAGTAACCTAAGTTATTTGTTATGTGACTAATGGTAAATATTTCATGTCTTATTAATTTCCTTAGAATACATATTACCACCATCCTCTTGATCCAGTATTAACTTGTCCTGCAAAC